GGAAAATATAAAGATAGCAAAAAAAAAAAAAAAGATTAATTGAATGAAAAATTTTCAATATTGTGTTTTCCTAAAGTGTTTGCTAATAACCTTTTACATTTGTTTGGTGATATTTGTTTACTAATTATATATGTTTATTTCCCATAAAAAATTTATTGTGCTTATTTTGTCCTTTAAATGATGAAATTTATTTTAGTTCATCAACCACTATCAATTTAAGTTAAAAACTAATAATAATAAATTTTTAAAATTTTCTCTTGTATAGACTTTTCAATTTACTCACAAATAGTCAATCACATCATTTCTTAATCTAGGTTTCATTTTGCCCCCAAAAAGATATTCTTGGCTCTGCCAATATTATGCTCCACTCAAATAGATAAAAATTTAAAATTCTAAATTAGACATTCTGAGTTTAAATCTTAAGGTAAGTGGGGAGAAATTAAAGGAAGTAAAAGTTATTATATAACCTATCAAAAAAAAATTATTGGAGTAAAAAAACCAGCTAAACTTGAATTGTTAGAGTATTAATCTTTCTTTTGATAATGACTTTATTGGATTCATCTTTTACGAGTTAAATTATATATTAAAATTGCAGTTTGATTTATAAAATTATTAAAATAGTTTTAATAAAATATAAAAGAAATAATTTCATTAATAATGTTTTAATAATTTTATAAATTAGACTGCACCACCTGTAAAAAACTTTTTCGTTACTCTATTACTATTAATTAATAATTACGAATATAATAACATAATAAATGTAGTGTGTATATAATTATGCTAACTACAGGCTTTGAGAAACGAGACCGAGAAACGGAGAAGGCAAATCGATGATTCGTCTGAGCCAAGGCCCAAGAAAAAGCGAAAGCCGATCGATGAAGCGTCTGACCCAGAAGCCCAGCAACCCAGGACAGTGAAAGCTATCAGGGTCCATAAATTTGGCGGACCAAAGGTTAGTCAGTACCACTGTACTACCAGTTTTTATGTTTTATTAAGTCGCACAACAAAAATGATTAGTAGAAGTCAATTTTACACCCTCCAAAGTCTAAGAGATTG